CATTGAATAAAAATAAAACAATATTAATAAAGTTTATGACTAATTAATTTATTAGAAAGACGTGATTATGGAATTTGTGTAAAATAAAACAATGTTAATAATTAATTAATTAATTAACTAAATAATTGGTTAGAAAGATAACAAAATTTGTGCAATTTGATATTCATTTTTCTAATATTGATTTCTCCTAAAATGTTCACAGTTTAGATAATTTACTTAGAAAAGAAACTCAATTACCTTAGTTTATGTAATAGTGCAAAAATTCAACATCATGAAGACATGAACATAACGATATGATTAAACAAGTCAATGGAATTGTAAAACATTAAATATAGTTAAAAAATTAATATAACAATATGATTAAACATATTTTGATTATTGCCCCACTTTGGATCTAATATGGTAAAAAAATTCTAAATTTAGAAATTATATTATATAATCATTCATCTTATTTAAAATAAACTGAATTGTGTTTATGATAATTTATAAAGTCTTGAAATATTTTTTTTTTTTCACATTTAGTTAAAGATAATAAATGACGTAATTTAATAATGTGAAGCATTGAAGAAGATACTTGGACAGTTGAACTTTTTAAGTCATATTGTTTTCATTCAAATTAATAATGATGAAATGATATCTAAATTATATAAACAGTATTAGATTAATAATATTTATTAATCTAATATAAGATGAAATGACTAAATTGCATGTATATGTATTGGAATACTAAATATAAGAACTATTTTATATTTCTTAGATATATAATAATATAACATTACTATAGAAAAAAAGAGGTATTTAGATATAATAATAATATTGCATTATGTATAAAAGAATGGGCTGGGCTGCAATTTTTCGGGCCGGGGATTTCACGCGGCGGTTAGGGGGTGACATGGATTAGTGTTTATTGGCTTTTGGGGGCGGAGCCCGTCAGAGAAAATTAATCCCCATACCTGCCCGTCCCGGGTGCGAGGGTGCTTTTTGCCTATCTTCGGGGAATCCCCACCCCAGTCGGGTCGAGACAGGATAGATCCCCATCGGGGCGAGCGAAACGCCAACCACTACAAGAATCTTATATTTAATAAATTAAAGATATAATTATAAAACCCAATACATTAAGGATATAACTACAATCTCACCTCAGGTCTTGGTTACTAACAATCAAGTGGCGGGGATTAAATTTAAGTGATTGAAAATACAGTCCTTGCAACAATAAACCAACGTCCTACTAACCATACTAACATGCTGCTGCCGCATTCTCAGTCATCCACGACTCCCGCCAAAATCTATTAGCAAAACCAAATCCCTACTTCTAAACAAAGCCTTGCAATCAAAACAAAAACGCATTTCATTTTCAGATTCAGTGGCAAAGATTTTACATACAATCTTGAGAATGAGTACAGGGAAGAAGATGAATTTGGATTTTCAAGAATTATTTTTGGGCAAAAGACTCGGCTGCCTCAGGATTGTTCATAAACTTTTCGATATTAATTTTGCTGTTGAGCTGGTTCTTGAATAAGTTTACTGTCAACAAAATTCTTTATATTATAATTTCAGCTTTGTAAATAACATTTGTGATTTTTTTTTTCTTTTTGTGGAGTTGAGAGCAGTATCATCCAATACTGAACCCAAACATGAGAGAGAGATCGCATTTTTATGAACAGTTGCAAAAACTTGTATTCTAAATAGGTTTTGAGCTACGTAAGAAATCATTTAAAAATTGAGATAAAAGAATGTGATTTCCATTTTGTTGAATACATAGTGTTTGAAGAAAAACCCAATGAGATTATTTTTAGTGCTTTTAGTGAATCTTTGGTAGGCCTTAACTGGTGAGGAGTAATGGGAAAGTAGATAGGGAAATCTAGGGTTCGATGTCCCCTCGTTGAAGAAAAGGGCTGCATTAAAGGAGTTTTGGCTCTGGGAGCCAAAACAAAACACACTACACTATAGTGGACCTTAGATCAAGCATTCTACCCCTGTTGAATTTGAACCAACCGCCATTGCGTTGCCACTGGTAGTTATAGTTGTTATTTATTGATTTAAAGTTTTTATTTACACACACCTACTGTAGATTTTATTAAAGGGATAGTTTCTGTATGGTGATTTTGCAGTACCGATAAGAATATGTATGGTTCATGGATATTTGAGATTTAGACTCATCAAAGTGTAAAATTTATAGCTTATTGTTGCCATTTTGTTGGTGCGAAAATAAAAACTAAAATCGTGTTATGTTATAATAATGATGAGAATAACTAGTCCTTCAAGGACAATAGGATGAGATTCACCTGAGTGTCAAATCTACATGCATCGTTGTTGCCTTTATTTTTTGGAGGAAAAATAGAAGATAAAATCATCTTATGGATCGCTTATGCAAAGTGTGAATTTGTTTGAATAATAACAACTTGTGGTGTTAGGTGTGGCTTTGGCCTCCGTTGTAGGATTTGGATCCAAGAAGGCATTTATGAAGACTTTGCTTCAACAACCTTAACGGAACATTCTGTTGTTATGATAAATGGCTATCTCCAGTCAATCAACATGAAACATGTATTTTCATCTTGGATTTCATTGTGGTCTACTATTGTAGATGTGGTCTATACAAAAGTTACTAAAATGAATTGAATAAGAATTTTTTAATTTAACATGTTGCATATAAACACTATAATTTATGAACAATTAATGGAACGTTAGTATTTTTTAACCATTTGGTGTAGGGTGGGATGGTTTCTGGTAATAATGGGCATAAACATAACCTTGTTTATGCCATGGTCATTTATGAATCTTAAATTTTAAAATGTAGGTTTTGATTACTTTAGTTGAAGTTCTATGTGATCAATTGAAGTGAGGCAACGGACCCTTTTCAAGAACTTGCCTAAAGCTCAACAACCATTTAATCTTTATCCATGGATGATCTTCTTGCATTTTTGGATGCGTCAAAAGTGAAAAGAGAATGATTTTTTTGTATGTCTTGCTATTCACAACATTGATGGGCTTGGATTAAGAGACTTTGAAACTCAATAGTATCTTGCCCTAATTGCTTCTTGTTCTCATATTCATATCATTGGCTCTATTGACCATGTGGGCTCACCTCTCTGTAGTTACTTTCTGCATTACAAGTTACATATTGATAATATTTAGCTAGTTGATGTTGTTCATTTTATTATCGTTCCAGTGTCTTCTGGATTGCTTTAGTTAAGTGTTGTCCTGAAAATTGTGGTTAATTTGTATTTTTGTTAGTGCTAAAAGAGTTTAAGTCAAAAGATCTTGAGTTTTATTCCCTCAATTCTTTGTGGTCAATAAAATTTTAGTCATTGGTTACTTTATGGGTAAACATGCTTTTTAAGAATGTGAAACCATTTGTTGTGACATGTGGGGGTTTCCACACTATGCTTTTAAGAAGATGCAGGTAGGGCTTCATCTTTTAATAATGATATTTTTAATCTACTATTTAGATAAAGAAAGGTTGCTATAGCCATTCCATTGGTTCTACGGAAAATGTTTTTGCGAGGCTAGAACAACGTTGGGGCCCTAGCTTCAAGCTGCCATACCAAAATAAGCCACAGATAGATGTATGTTACTACAAAAGAATTGAAGAACATCTCGAGTCTTCAGTTTTAGTATATCAGTAAATTGGTGTGGTTGATTCTATATTATGTTCTTCACAGAAGGAATGCATGTGTTGCATTGTGATTGGACATTTTGAGAGGTATGTTATAATGTATTGACCCAATAAACTCATCCTTGGTTTTTTGTAGTGTGGGACAAGAAGATTACTTTGAACTCCCATTTGACAAAATTCAAAGATCATGAGTTGGTGAAGACTAAAAGGCATTCTAATGGTCAGGACCATAAAGATATCCTGAGCAATTAAGGACCACGATACAAACATGAAGTACTTAATTGTGTGACTTAGGCTCAGCCAATTTATGAACCAACAATAATGCAATATCTTGATCGCTGATCATCATCACCCCATTTCAACAATTAATGAATCACTCAGTTTTGTGCATTCAAATGCACATAAAAATAAAATCTTGAACATGAAGCCATTGATATTTCTGTTTTGTAGCTGACACGCAGTTAATGTCCAGTGCCACCAAGATTTCTCTCATTTGTCAACATCGATTGCTTGCCTCTGGCGCAGTTTGCGTAATTTTCATACTACTGGATCAAGTCTACAAGTCCATGTGTCAAATTCATGTTCAGAGACTTGGACCCTGGAAATTTCTAGATTGATGACAATATACAGTCCAGTGTCGATAGTCGATACAAGCGTAGTTTGGGCTAAAAACAAAAATTGGACCAATAGATTGGACTAGCAACAAGGAAGTCAAATGTGAGTAGAAAACCCAAACTCACATGGCCCCAACTCAAGTTTGATTCGCAATCACACCATTTAACAAAAGATTTTTTTTTAAAAAAAAAAATTACTGACAGTTGCACTCTGAAAATTTTCTTAATAGAATAAAAGAGTTAACTACTTTTCTCCACCCAAATAATGGCTTTATGACACTTTCTCACCTACAGACTTTTAAAATACCACTTTAATATCCAAATTAATATCCACGGCAAATAGAGAATAAACTTGGTCAGATTGTTGAGACTTTTGAAGATGAGAGGTTGATGAGTCTTTTGGTGGTAGAATGTTAGATTTTGGTGGTTAGGACTGATCAGAATTTGACTTGGGAGAGGCAACTGTGTAAAACCTAATCGCTCGATTATCAACAATTAGTAAGGTTGACAGGAGTAGAGTTTGATGGGTTTTGGTGAGTGATGATCAGGAAAGAGAATGGTAGTAGTATGGGGTCGCAACAATGCCAAAATTGGAAACGAAACATAAATTTGAATATTAAAATAACACTTTAAAAGTATATGGGTGAGGAAGTGTCATTAAATTATTGTTTACTCTCTTAAAAAAGATAAAACATAATAATCTGCAACCATATGCTCGACATAATTTACTACTTTACATGGAGAATATATCTAATCTCTACATTATACGTCTAAGATGCGTGTAGTGTATCAATAGATGTATCATTATCCTTTCCTCCTTCGGAAGAAGTCCTTGAATGGTTCTGCATATCAGCAATATGATTAGGAACTGAAGCTACAACATTGGCTTCTAGATTTTGTGTAGGATATACTCTTAATTCACTTCTATTGAAATGGTATGAAAAGTGATCTTTTTTGTCAAAATGCTTTATCAAATCAACGATTTTCGCCAGGAAGGATCGTTCAGAGTGAAGATGGTGGTCATTCAAGACAGGCCAGTGTGAACGAATGAAGTTGAAGAGATGCAACAAGAGTGCAGAAATGGAAGCAACTCCTGTGATTATAAAGAGCTCCCCGAAGCTGTAGACACTGAGACTGCTACCCGAAGAAATTGTCACGCTTTTATCTTCACAAGTTGGTTTGCTGCGAAAAGTCTTTCTCTCAATTGCTTCCATTTTATCTTTGTCTTTAGTCACCTTCAAAATTGCCCTTGACATGTAAGGAACCAGTGGGGAACCTTGTTGAAAGGCCTGAAACAAGAAGATATGTATCACCATATTAATTCATTGGAATTATAGTGATCATAAAAAATATTATAAATATATGTATATATGGGAAATTTAAAGTGCGAACATCCTGAAATTTTAAATGTATAAACTAAAGGCTAACAACTAAATGTTGGTTTTGAGTTTTGCACCCTGTATCCTTGACTTTGATTTTTTGCATTTCCCCAATTCAGAGACTAGTCGCTGACTTATAGTCTGCATGTTAACAACTCTAGGATGTCTCTATTAGAAATTCACTACATAAATCTATTGTGGAAGTTCTCATTTTTTTTAATCAACCATGTATATATATCTTATGAAGCAAGGATACAAATTAAGGCCAAGCTTATACACAATTGAATGTTTGAATGTTATAACATGAATAAAGAATCTTACAAAGCCCAATCCGTCAGTTCTGTAGATAGGTCCGATCATCATGAAGTTGGAGCAGTACTTATTAAGGAAGAGCTTTATGTATGGGATTCCATCAAAAATTGCAGCCACCTCTCCTTTAGACAATGCTACATTATACTCTTCTGGGGTGTTATAAGGCCTCAATTTTTCTTCATTAAATCTCAGTTGATTCATTAAGAGATCTTTCACAAAAGAATTATTCTGGTATCCTACAAAGTAGCCATGTTTTCTGATCTCTTGCACATCATCAAACAAAGGCCGCAGCTGCTTCACTGTTAACATTGAAGCTAAACCTGCAGTGTAACTTTGTGTCAAGATGAGTACCACAAAAATCCATATAATCAACACAAATTTTGACAAATTGTTCACCACCTTTTCTCCTGAAACCACACATAAAAACACTATTTTTAATAAACTTCTAAGATATCACACGATCAGAAGTGATAACAAACATTGAGATTATGTATGAATATAAATTATATTACATAACGAGACGCAATATTTAACGTGTGTTTGTTACCTAAAATCGGTTATATATAAATATAAATTATAGAGCAGATTTTTCTTACCTACTTTTTGGAAATTTCATTATATATATTATATAATTACTAAAAAAACACACACATATAAATATATATTCTGAATTAAAAACGATAACTACTGTTGCACATCATCCATCATGCCGAACTCTCATAACCTAAAATTGATTCTAATTCTTAAAATGATCTCCATTAACAATAAAACGAACCAAAATATCTCAATATAAACTATTATAAACCTTTCAATTTTATGCAGAAGAAAGAAATGTAATCAGTTTGGAAGTTAATTACTGTGAGCAAAGACGAGTGTGGAGAAGGAGAACCAAAATATTGTGCCAAGTTGATGCTCTAGAGGTCCTCTGAATTCGGTGTTTATACGATGCTCAAGAACCCATATAACCAAACCTGTTAAAATGAAGACTAAGCCAGTTGTTAACCAAAGATCCAAACTCAATGGCTTTAAGAATATCCAGAAGTCTTTCTTCTCATCATCTTTCACCAAAACCACCATTGACACACCAGATTCTNTTTTTTTTTTTTTTTAAAACAATAAATAAGAAATAAGGGAAAGGGAGAGGAGTGAAAAATCAAGCGATCGGGTTTTAGTGGTATCTGAAGGGGTGAGAGAGGTTTGTGAGGGAAAGAGCTTTTGAGTGATTTCTGAAAGATTGAGAGATAGAAGAGAACTGAAGAAGAAGAGAGATTGAAGGGAGGAAGAAAACAAAAGACAACGAAAGCAGTGGAGTTTAGCTTACTGCTTTCCAGCTGGATCTAAACGCGTTTCATATAAAGTTTCCAATTAATTATTCTTATAATTGACCACAACGTTTTATAAAAGCATTTTCTTATATGATTCTCCTATTCCCAATTTTATTTTCCATATAAGTAATTTCATCTTTGAACTTTTATCAAATTTAATAAGAGTGAGGCAAAATAGAACTTTTTTATAAAAATTTTAACTTACAAGTTAACAGAATTGGATGACCTTAGGGCTTAAGGGTGATTTTTTTACTATTTCCCACAGAAAAATGTAATAATTTGTATAGTTAACAAAAAAGTAAGAGATAGTTTAGAAAATTCTATTTATTCTTTTTCTCTGGAAGATTAAATTTATATTGAGCTTTATTTTCACAGCATCTTTAAATGGTTCTAGTATTAGCTAATTTATTGCTGCATTTGGTGGATTGTGAAAGCAATCCTTGTAATTTTCCAAAATAGTTTGTAAAAATGTATTCTTATATACTTGCCCTATTAATTTGCAACTTTATTTTCCATCAATATTTCTTTAGTTTCTATTTATGAGACCTGACGATTTCATTACTAAGAATAATTGATTGACGGTGAAGACTCACTGCGTGAACAAATTTATATTTTATTTAAGTAAGAAAAAGTTAATTATGTATTAACAGTTAATCATTATTTGACAACCAGAATTATTAACTGCAGATTGATTACCTAGCATACTCCAATAAAAATCTTGAAGAAAAACAAGTAGTTTCTCAGAAAATAAACTATTTAACATTTTGAAGAAAAACAATTAATTTCCTTTCTTTGAAAGTGATAATAGGAAAAATAGATTATGAAATAATCTATTTAATTAAAGAATTTAAAAAAATAGTATTTTACAGTTTTTAGATTTAAAAAATTGCTTTTGGAGAGTTAATTGTAAAAATACCCTGAAAGTATTATGAAGCCAAAACGGTCGTTTTGTTTAAGACCATTACCGTTTTTGGGCCGTCAGATCAAGACAGATCCAAGGGCTGAGAATTACGAACGCAGACATATATAAAGAAGAGCAACAGTGATCAGAGGTAGAGTCGTTCATTGTCATCGGGGTATTAGGGTTTGAGAGAGAGAGGGAAATACTGAGGTGGGTTTTCTCTGCTGAATCTTTCTGGGTTAATCTGGGTAGTTGAGAGAGGGTTGCGGTTCCTTCCAGAGGCTAGTGTTTGTTCTCTGTTTCTTGCAGATTATAGAAAGATCAGTGAAGGTTTTAAGCCTGGTAGGGTGTTAGTTTTTGGCAGATTTGTAGTCGTTATCCTTCTTGTAATCCTTGATATCTTCTTAGTGTGAGTGTCCGTATTCGAGCTCACGTGATTAGTCTATTCAAGATTGAATAGACGAACCATGGTAAAATCGTGCCTTGTGCTGTGTGTGTGATTCTTGATCGTTAATCTTGTTTGTGTGATTATTTTTTTTGTGAATTGCTTGTTGGCTTAGGTTTAACGTGGTATCAGAGCTAGAAAGTTCTAAGGGGTCAGGGTTAGAAACGTTTGGTCTTCGTACAAATTCTAAAATTAGGTGTTTTCAGATTTGGGGTTTTTTCGATTCAAGATCCTAGATCGTTAGGACTTCAGATCTTGCTAAGTCTTGGGGTTAAATTCGTGAGATTGAGTTACAGGCACAAGAATCGACGAAGTTCGTACAATTCTAAAATTAGGGTTTGTCAGATTGGGTGTTTTCGGATTAAAGGCTTATAGGGCCTTAGGTTTTCGAAATTGGTCTTGAATCAGGTCGTATTGATGGTCTGGGTCACAAACACTCAAGGGAAAAAGGTCTAGGTCTGTCTAGGTATTTAGGCTGGACACCAGTAATGCCTTAAAAACTGCCTCAGTAATTGGCGAATTCTGTATAAACATGCCACGTACCCTTTGAACGGTTTTTAGCTGTGTTAGTCTTGTCACTTAGTCCTGTGTGTGTCTTGCATTGTTTGATACAGTTTAAGGTGTGTAGGCTGGAACACCAGTGATTGCCTTAAAACTGCCTGGCAGTAATTGCGAATTCTGGTATAACAACGCCACGTACCCTTTGATTGTTCTGTCCTGTTACTAAATTCAATGAGTACTACTCGTATGGAGATTCTCCAATAGGATGGGAAGTCGACTTTAATACAGGAAAAAGATGAAACCCTTCTTTCGCATATAAAGTTGGCTTGCCTTAGAAAAAATGCCACTAAGTGGTCTGAGAGAAACTGAAAAAGAAGGCTGAAGTGGATGAAGAGGCCTACAATCTGATCATAATGAATCTATCCGATGCAGTCCGTGCAAAAGGTTGATGGCATGGAAACACCGCTCTCATACTTTGGTAAACTCGAATCCTTTTATTCCTTACATTCTGCACCAAACTTAGCATTTCTTAAAGGAGCCTATTTTCTTATATAGATGTTACTAAGTCTGTAAAGAAAACCTTGATGAGTTTCTAAGTGACATAGTATTGAAAGGTACAACAGATCGGAGTTGGGAGACCTCTAGTCTGGCAATGATATGTTAAATTCACTGCCTGATGAGTACTTGTGGTGAAGAATGCTTTACAATACACTGGGACAGTTCCCAGTGTTGACCTGATTTTAGCAGGTCTGAAATCTAGGAGTTGGAGTTGAAGATACAGAAAAGATGGGAATAACCTGTTTGTCAAAGGTAGATCAGATCCAGACAATCAGAAGGATAACAATAAAATTTCCAACAACACATAAACCCTAGGGCTAAGAAAAAGGGGAAGAAAACAGTCTAAGGGAGAAACTAGGAAGTGTTTCCACTGTATAAACCTGGCCACTTAGAGAGAACTGCTTGATTGATAAGAAACAAAACAGCACAATACGAGAGTAACTTAGCTACACTAGTACTAGCATTGAAGTCCGAAGCCCTCACTGTCTCAAACCACTAGCATAAGGAAGGGGTTCTAGATTCGGGGTGTACTTTTCATATGATCCCAACATTCAATGGTTTCAGAATTTTAGGAAGGAGAGTTAGAAACTGTCTCAATGGGCACAATCACTCGTGTAAGGTTCAAGGCATAGGAAACATAACCATTAGGTTGAATAATGCCAAAATCATAATGTTAACCGAGTGAGATATATACCTGACCTCAAAAGAAACCTGGTCTCCTTGAAACTTTGGATGAGCTGGATGTAGTTATAAGGCAGAAAAGGATCCATAGTGTTGTACAAGAATAATGAAATATTACTTGAAGGGGTCACAAAATGGACTGTACATTCTGTGTGGTCAACACTTGCTCTCACTGTGAAGTCTACTTTAATCTCCTAATCTGACTGCTGCAGAAAAATGGATCTGAGACTTGGCCACTAGGCCAAAAGGTATGACATGTGCAGCCACATGGCTACTTTGGTAAGGAATCATATATGATTTAACTTTCTGTGAGGTTGTGTGTTGGGAAAACAGCATAGAATGATTTTCCAAAAGGGAACTCATCTGCTGAAAGGGTGGACTATGTTCATGCAGATCTCTGGGTCCTGAAAGGCAGAACACATGGAGGGAACTGTTATTTCCTCTCCATTGTAGTGACATGCAGGAAGGTATGGTGTACAACTTCGGTCTAAGATGAAGCCTTAACCAAGTTTAAGGCTGGAAAAACTGTTGAAACCAAGTTAACGAAGGTAAAACCTTTAGGACAGACAATGGCCTAGATTCTGTAATCAGGAGTTTGACTCTACTGTGTAGAGGGGGAATCTTGAGCATAGGACTATTAGGGGACCCCTCACCAAAATGGATTGCTGAGAGAATGACCGAACCCGCTTGAAAGGGTTATGTCTCTTATTCACTGCTGGTCCTCAACAAACTTTTTGGGGGGAAGCATTAGGCCCAGCTGCTTACCTTATAAATAGGCCCTTCTAGCTCAATAGACTTTAAGTGCCCTGAAGAAAATGGTCTGAAGGGACCATCTCTTGACACACCTAAAGTCTTTGGATGTGCTGCATATGCCCATACCAGAGATGAAAGTTAGAACCAAGATCCCTCAAGTGTGTTTTTTTAGGATATCAAGAGGGAAAAAGGGTTATAGGCTGTGGGAAAGGGCTGCCAGGGGTTGGGTAATTGTTAGTAGGGATGTGATTTTTCAATGAAACGTTTTTCCTTGTAAATCTGGTACTAACAGTGCAGGTAGCTCAAAAGAAGAGTCTGAACTCAGGACAAACTAGCAACTCAGTTTGAGGTGGAGCCTGAGACCAACCCTGATCAATGCACCCAAATAATGACCTGACCTTGTTGAAGATCAACCACATCATAATCTAGAGCAGGAGTGTAAGATTACCCTACTGACACTGCTGAGAGATCAACAGGATAACCTGGCCCAATATCAGTTAGCCAAGACAGAGTCAGAAGGGAAATCAGACCCCCTGCAAGGTACGCTATGCTGACCGGATTTACACAGCACCCTAGCTGGGTCAAACATCGATCAGAACCACACCTATGATGGCACTGAGTTCAAGGGATAGAAAAGAATGGCTGGGTGCTATGGAGGAAGAGATGGAGTCTTTGCACCAAACAAACCTGGACACTATTTCCAAACCAAAGAATCAAAAATTGGTGGAGTGCAGATGGTTGTACAAACTGAAAGAGGGTAAATGAGTCTGACCCTCCAGATTCAAGCAAGGTTAGTGGCTAGGGCTACACTCAAGAGCAGGTATTGATTTCACTGAAATATTTTCTCCAGTAGTTAAATTTAAAACTATTAGATCATGCTAGCAATTGTAGTTCAACATGATTTAGAGATAGCCAACTGAT